GACAAGGCGGTTATAATGTACGTAAAAATCTGGACAACATTGTATTCTATCGAAAGGTCTATTATTGGGACGATAGCAGCAAATTCGCATGACATAACAATGTTCAAGATTCTGACAACCAAAGATGTGCCATCCGGGTCGCGGCAGCATTGACTATACAACATTTTCGAATAATCTACTTAATGTAGAGTCAGCGCTGTTTTCACTCACTAGCCTCGGTTATTTTGTTCTCCTATTCGACGGATGGGCTTGCGTGACTTAAATTCTGGTGGTGTCAGGGCCATATTTTTACGAAAGCGAATACTTTGCAGATGCCCCGAATAAATTAAAATTGCAATGCGTCCCTAAAAACCCATATTAATACAAAGAATATGGCGGAGTACAATTTATTTCTTTTTCAGCCTATACAGAAAGTTCTTTAGCAAGTACGTCACATTTACTCACCGGATAAATTGATCTCGTTCTGGGCGGCCTATTGGTGGCGACCGCCAGGTCTTCACACTTAAGGAAATTTCATCAGCAATACAGAATTCTAGCTGATCTATTGAGTGTATCAATGTGATGCCACAATGAACGACATTAAAGTAGGATACATTTTTGGTTTATTGAGAGGAAAGATAATCTACTTGATTGGTAACAACTTATATTAAAGAATGCTAGTTTCTATCCAAGATATGATTCTCGTTTCCCATAATATAACCTAATTTGTATCGCGTATTTTTCTGACGTACCAAGTATGCCGTGACCATGTCACTTAAGTCATAGGCATGATGTGACATAAACTTAGCGCTAATTATTTTATTTCAACAGAGTGATGTCTGCTCCAACATCGTGATGGATCGATAGCTTACTTGATGATAGTCTCTCTTTACCGCAATGTCTGCGCAAACAAAAGCTTGGATCAGTTATACGCTATTTGCCATCAATATATAAAAAAGTGATGGACGACGAACGTGATTCTAATTCGCTTACAGGAAAGGCATTTGGATCGAAGGCGTACAATCGGATCTTCAAAATTAAGATACGAAATAATCGTTAATAATTTAGTCGTTAACAACATTGATAGATAGCCTATCGGTTGTTAATGAATAGTAGTACCCATCACTCCATTCAATTCGTGTTTTAGGCTTTAATTAATGACTGCAATGTAGCAGAACACATTTTCATTACGTGCATCAAAAATGAACTAAGTAGCTTAGATATACATAGTTCGGCGTGGCTTGAAACTATATCGGTAATATCACGTAAAACGAGACGTACTGAAGCATCTTATAAGTACTGTAAGTCGATATAGTACTAAATATTATCTGCCGCCGCATCATCCAAAGGTCGTCTCGAAAACATCGATCCATTTGTTAAATGACACAAAAATGCAGAAAAGTAGTTCAAAAATTGTGGTATTTTAAGATTACGGGCGCGATAACGAAAATTATTAGTAGATCAACAGAATGCTTGTCGATACGCGCAATCTACAGGGACAACTTACTAAGCTCATTACATAAATTTCGAAGTATTTTAACCATGTCGAGCGATTACATGCCTTATATTTAAGATATTTATAGTGTCGCACGTGCAAAGATGCAAATGATGACCCTGCACGTCTCGTAATTATAATTCTTCTGGCCTTAATATGTAAATCTGGACTGACCAAAGCAGTTCCTCGACAGAAGCACAGAAACGTGCCTCAATGTCAATTTACAGAAAAAATATGAAGGAGTTGTTAGAATGTCACAGATGGGAACCACAAGTTTTGGACGAGGTCAGAGCATGGATTCCTAGCGACTTGATATGTATTAGGAATACTAAGAAATAAGTAGGAGGTCACTATGTTATATCTCATAAGTAATACTCAGATCTGCAGATCTACCACAAATGACATACGGACATAAATTAACACATGTATGCGAATGAGCAAATATGAAGAGTGAAAACAATGGAGAGAGCTGCCGAAGCATATAATTCCGTCCACTCATATGTAATCATGTTTGCAACCAAATACATTTGCGCTGTTTTTTATTGGAGTAACTAATAGAAGCATTACCGTTTTTTCAAATTGCATGCTAATGACGAGAATCTAAAAATAATACCCTTTGCTCGAAGTGTGACATTTAAGGCATGAGCTAAAAGCTCAACGAGTAAGTGAGTGATTATTTAACGTCAACTTGCCTCATCTGTATCGGGTGGCATAACACGGTCCAAAAAATTCATGACTTATGTGGAAAAGCTACAATTGCTGTGAGCTGTAAGGGGGTCATAATTCTACGGTACGAGCTGTAAATTGATAAAATAATTGGCACATGAGTTGAACAATCGGAAAGAATGATACGTAGAAGTGCATGTACATATTTTGCATCAATTATAGATATACCAATCTCTTCTAGGTACGTACACTAGGAGCCGACACGTTTCGTCTATACAGAGAAACACCTACTTAGATTGTATCCAGTAGATTGTATATTCCATTTATAGCTGTTGGGCAAAACTTATCATCGTGTACATTTTTATGATACGAAAATCTATCTGTTAACGATAGGGGTTGGATGCTTTGTTACAGCGTACAATTTTGCACCATTGTAGTTCCGTCTGATTGACGTTTGGTGTGTATATTATTGGATCGATTCGTACGAAATCTTTCATTCCCAAATGGTTGATACTGAAGTCGCTATTAAAGTAAACGGACCAAGCCACGTTTTGACGACAACACTTTCCTGTTGCCACAAAAAATGGTAGCTTTGCTACAGAAAAACCATCGGAAGAGATCCGACAAACATATCTGGCAACATGGATCAACGAAGCTGCCAGCAAATTATATTGACCTCACTCAGAGGAAATTTGTAAGTGTCAACTCGAAGTCGCCAAAATTTGTGCATTAAGATTACATGAGAGCATTCAATTGATTAGTGAGAAAGCACTGTGTATGCATCTAATAAGCAGCTTATAAGGGTTCAGAGATAACCCCAGATATGTCAAAATACCTCTTAAAACTCAAGATGAATCGTAGCTAAGCTACCGTACTATCATTATACATTAGCAATCAACATGCGGCGGAGAATTAATAGTATTGTTCTGTAGACTCGCCGAGTGCTAAGTAATCTAAAGTTTATCGAAAATGTCAATGCGACACAACGATCTAGTTTGGAATTTTATTTACTCATTAATAGTTGGTGATATCGTTGAATCCTTATGAATAGGCTCAAAGTAGTATGACGTATCATACGAAAGACTGAGCTATATATGATTTATGTGAAATTCTATAGAAGCATTTACAGCACATTTTGCATTTAATTATTATAAGACCTATGAATATGCGCACGTATCTAATTTTTTTTGTTTTTTTCAATTATCCATATACACATTCTAATTAAAATAGTTGCTGCTAGAGGTCAAAAACGGTAAAACAAACAAGCTCACGTGCCTAATGATTACATAAACGATTTCACGAGCCTAAGTAAGTCAGTAAGTTTTGATCTAGTTGTACCCGTGATTACATGCTCAATAAAGGCTCGCGTTTTGACAGTATATGGCCCACATGTTCGATACCGATTGTATTATTTGTGGAAATATTGCTGCAACCTGATGATGGGTCATACATACTCAGTGGCAGTCAAAATGTCGATTGATTGGTTAAAAAGGATTTTGGAAAGCGCCAGTTGGCTAATTTGCGAGTCGTGTGCGTCTTACCGAGGTGCACTCTGTGTGTGGAGTGAGCAACATCGTGAAACTGTTAAAATAGGAATTATTTATAAAGTGTGGTTATACTAGAAATACTTAAGCAACATATATTGTCAATCAATAAAACTCGATCGTTCTGCTACATTCTTTATATGGGGGTAATTCCAGTCGCACGATTTGAATCCAAGAAGAGTCAAATAGCATATAAAGTGGATTTTTGAAGTACTGTCGCGCACTTTGCTTGACGTGCAATCAGTTGAGACATCGTAGTGCATACAGAAGTAGCCAAAAACATGCAATAGGCATCATCTGGATCCATTTTATTGTCCAGAGTCGTATCAAATGATTTGTTCTGTTTTTTGCAAATATCAATTACATAATAGATAAAGTGGGTGACGTTACCCATCTAAGTGGCGACGACGATGTGTCTGCCTAATATGGTCTCAGAAGAGCTAAGAATGCTAAAACTGAGCCAAAAATGACCTTACTTTTAACTATTTACGTATAATGGAATATGTGGGAAGTAAATAATTCAAGAGTAAAACATCGGAGTAAACGCATCGACGGTGACTTAGCTCTGGTATGTGACAAAGTATTATGATGAGCTGTGTAAATTCGCACATTTCTATCTGCAAGAAACACATTAGAGAGTACGACACGAAGCGAGAATCAGCGGTATGGTCACCATTTCGCTCACGACCCATGTGTAGCCACTCATCAGCCGGATGTCAGACCAGGGTGGGACCATCTAACTGCTCCATCATAACGGGGATGTAACAGGGCACCACCAGCTACGTACTGGACTACCAGTACGGAGCCAACTTTCACTGACAACAGTGGAGGTCACTGCCATGTTACCTCTATACACTGCACAGAGGAAGGGTAAATAACTAAGACAAAGACTGTAGTGTTAGTAAAAGTAAAACTGTTATCCAATACAATTGAGCCCAATATCTCTTATGTTTAATTTGTCCTAACTTAAGTATATTAATAGAACCGAATCTATGATGACGTCTGCTAACCACCCATTGCGCGCGTCTAGCAGCGATTGAAGGGTTGATTTAAGCACAATATCAACCAATGAGTAGTCATTTAGGTCGTCTCAACAATATTACTGACCTTATCGATGTTGTAGTGAGACTATTAAACTTTATATTCTCGATTGTCATATTGTCACAAAGGATAATAATAATAATATTATGTAAGAGGCTCACCACCTTCCATTCTGGGCGCTCTTTTTCTAAAGAACACGGACGTGCGACTCGGACGTGTTGGCACTTAAACATTTGCTCCCTCCCTCGCTCGAGACGGACAACGATACACCGACGATGCGCCTCCACACGTTCACGCTCGTCGTGTTCACTGCGGTTCTAGCACACAGCGCGAACTCTACGAAGACGTCCAACTCGACGACGACGGAAGGTGCTCCCCCGGCAAGTCTTCGTTCCTCTGACGCGTGCTGCGATGACGTCCCTGTTGAGCAGAGGCTGGGTCCACACGAGACCACGGCGGTCGAAGAGAGGATGCCAGAGCCATGGATTCCATCATCAATTAACAGCGCAGTTGCTCGTCTCGTGGAAAAGTTGCATGCGCAATATCCGGTGGAGCTCGCGGTCGAGAACTTTCCTGTAAACGTGTTGCGAGAATTCGATGAGAATGCTATCCGACACCTTTTTCGTTCAGAATCGGCACACATGACAACAGAGCAGCTGCCGGAACACGCTCAAATTGTTGATCGCTGGCTGCAAAACAAACTCGAAAAAGGACCCAGACTGATCGCAGAGGCTCGCCAAGTATTTCTTGCACATGAGGCGGAAATGGGAGCAACGGTTCACCAAGATTTTTTTGCACGTCAGGCGGAAATGGGAGTGGAAACTCCCCAATATTTTCTTTCACTCCAGGCGGAAATGACAGCAGATGGTCACCAATTTATTCTTGCAGACCAGGCGCAAACATTAGTTAAGGCTCACGAAATGATTCTCAAACACCAGGAGATAATGATAGCAAAGACTCGCCAAGATTTTCTTGCACACCTGGAGGAAACGACGGCTCAGGCTCGCCGTTCTTTTATTGGAATCGAGGCGGATTTGACAGCTAAGGCTCACAAATATGTTCGTGCATACGTGGCGAAAACGACGGCTCAGGCTCGCGACTTTTTTCTTGCAAACCAGGCTAAAATGACTGCAGAGGCTCGCGATTCTTTTCTTGCACACCAGGCGGAACTGACAGCTAAGGCTACCCAGTCTTTTCTTGCAAACCAGGCGAGAATGACTGCAGCGGCTCGCGATTCTTTTCTTGCAAACCAGGCGGAATTGACAGCTATGGCCACCCAGTCTTTTCTTGCACACCAGGCGAAAATGACAGCACAGGCTCACCAGTCTTTTCTTGCACACCAGGCGGAACTGACAGCTAAGGCTCACCGATATTTTCTTGCACACCGGGCGGAAATGACAGAAGAAGCTCGCCAGTCTTTTCTTGCACACCTGGCGGAATTGACAGCAAAGGTTGACCAATCTTTTCTTGCACAGCAGGCGGAATCAGGAGAAGAGGCAATAATGCGATTTGAGATGCATCCCAGTGCGTTGTTCAAAATCAGGCTCCAGCAAGTCAAGGCTGATGCATATAAGAACGGGGACAGTCGCAAGAAGAACCCTATTGCATCCCTGGACCTTGGTAGTTTGGACAGTTACAGGAGAACATACAACCATGTCCACGACAGCAAAGAACTTACGTTGCGAAAAGTGATGTCGAGATGCATTGGGGACGATGCCGAACTCGCATCCATCCTGTCGATCCTGAATCTCAACAAGAAAAACAAAAAATATGTGGCGACCGTGCGAATGGAGCCTGTTGCGGAGCCGGAGACGGTTGAAGACGCTGCTGTCAAGCTAGGGATACCACCAGGAACGACGGGAGTCTTAGACGACAAAAACGTGGAGACATTTGTCCGGTTCACCGCTATCCTCGCCCGAAAACATAAAGATCAACATTCAGTCATCGTCGAGCAGCTCACGAAGAGGTTTGGGGGTCGCCAGGCTGCATTATTGGTTTATAAAATGAACTGGTTATGGAGAGCTTCATATACGGCATTGAAGAAAGCGCTGTATGAGTATTTGATGAAGATAGGTACTACTCTTGACATGCTGCGCGACGAGATCATGAAGGCGAGAGAGAAAAGAGCTGTACGACCTGGAAATGGTGGTCATATGATCGAGGAACGGGGCGAGGAGAGGCTTCTGATAGAGTATTCTTTGTATCCTGAAGATCATACGAACCGAAAACGAAAACGGGCAAGTGACACGAGTGCCGGTTCTTCGTGACTCTATCCGTCACTAGCAGCCGCCTGCAGATAAGCGAAATCAACAACACATGCCATTCGTGGAACAGACCTGTGTTGTGCTAAGGTCAATCGCGGCAGATAGGTCAAATGGTGCTTGCAACTTCGTGGGCACTTTTGTAGCGTCCGCACACGTCCAGCGACGTCACCGAAAGCAGTGTGAACATCCGACGTGCCACCACACGACACGAGTATGAATAGCAGGTACAAACACTTGCCAGGTCAGCGCACGTATCGCGTTTGGACGCGGCTCCTTCCCAACAAACAGCACACGTAACGACATGCTCAAGCGTTGGCCCACGAGCCGCAAATGCGTGGACGGCTATGACACCAGGACAGCAACATCGAGTCACCAATGCTGTCGCGCTAGGTATACTCTCTCCACGATTCTGATTGCTATTCAGGCAGTTGGACAACAAGGGTGCTGTGTTATCTACAAGGAAAACCCGTTTGTCCGTCCAGCATAAGCTCGCATCAGATGAGATCTGCTCTGACTTTTGTAGCAATCATCCCACAAGCTTCCGTAGATGTAGCAACCACATCGTGCGTCTTCCATAGACTTACAGCCAGACTACAGCTTCGAATGCGGCTATTGGCACTACGCTCGGAAACAATGCCAGTGCTGCACTATAGCCCACCAACATGACAAGCACCTCTTGGACTACTCCGACTTGTAGGGCTCCTCGCGTTGCTCTGACCGTGTTTGTGCGGTGCAGCCATGTACTCGAACAGGAGTAATGGAAGCCCTCCACGGCCGCAGATGTCGAGATAAAGGTCACACATACGCCAAGAAATGGCTCGCTCAGCGCCGGTCGTCTTCCACTTAGCTTGACGTTCATCATGGCACCTCCCTGGTGGACCATCCACCAGCGTTCGTTCTCTTTTCTCGAACACCAGAACGTAGTCGCTAGTGCGGTGGTCGTCATCGGGTCCAGATCGGGAGCAGCACCACATCTGCACGAGAACGACGGAGCCACGCTTTTTATTTCGGCTCGACTGTCAAGAACGGTCACAAACAGTGCAGCTTCAACGGAATATCGCGAGATCCACCACGCGATGGACTCGATCGATTGCAACACGATGTTGCTTCGTATCACGTTCTACCATGACGGCACACGTGACGCGAGCTGCAAAGTCCACTGCGCTGCTATTCCTATCGGCCTCATTTTGCCCAGTAGTTGACACAGAGGAGTCACGTTTGACTGGACATGTGAGCATGAAATGGAAATCATTGCGTCCTTCGTACTCGACGACCAGCATGCCAATCGACGAAATCTGTAACAAGTCCGAGCTGCAGCCGTTCCTTACAGCTTGTGGAGAAGTGTCTACTGTGCTCAAATGAGAAAAGTCCAATGTCACCAGCGCACAGCACCGCGCGACAAAAATCTCCACGCGCGTGGCAAGGCAGCAAAAGCTCTCACCGTAAATATAAGGAGCATGCATGCATGCACGCGAGCGCGCCGCACAAATGAAGCAGCACGCACGACGGTAGCATCATGGCGTACACGTCGTCTAGTCGCACGAGATCCCCACAAAAGGAACTCTCGACGAATCGACGTGCAAGGGTTTGCGGCATCCACAACCCCAGAGCTCACTTTTAAAGACATTCGCTCACTTCTTCGAGCTACTGAAGGTCAGCTGAGACATGTCCTTTGCCTATGGATTCCACCTACGACAAACGCGATCCTTGGTCCACGCATTCTTGACGCCACTTGTATCTTCTTCGTAGGTCTCCTCTGTACACCACCTGGCAACGCATGAATAATGAACCGCAGGGACGCAGTGCATTCACCGCAGCAGCTGCTGCTCCTTCAGTGCTTTTTCTTTGCTCATGGCTGCAACGGTTGCTGAATGACAAGATAGTGAACAGCGGCGTAAAGAGCGAGAGCAAGCGAGAGGAAGAAAGCGAGAGCGTGATGTCCACTCTCAAGTCGGGAAGTCACTTTCAAAATTGGGCTCTTCCAGCAACAATGTAACGGGGTAGCCCGTAACATGAACGTTACCATCGTGCGACATGGTAATAAAGAATATTAGGTTGACTATTCTTCCAACAATATCGCGAATTATAGTGATATTGTTGAGACGACCCAAATGTCTTCTCATTGGTAAGGATTGCGATTATATCAACCCACCAATCGCTGCTAGACGCGCGCACTGGATGGTGAGTAGTCGTCATCATTTATGCTTTGGTATTAATAAAGTAAAGCAAGACAAGAAGTAAGAGACCTATATGACTAACTAGATAGTTTCAATTTTCTTTTTCCGTCTAATACACTAAGTCGTTTGGTACGAAGTCTTCCTCTAAGGGGCGCGTACAATGTACGTAGGTTAACAAGAGCACTAGTTCTCACTGCATTCAGTGAACGCTCACTACGCACTGCTGTCAGTGCGAATTTCCAGTGCCCGTTTTGTTGGAAGTGCAAGTTGCACTTGGGTCGACCCCAGAGATTCAACCCACACTAGGGCATATATGGAATGTTCTACAGGGTTCTATGTGTTGTATTAGGCAGCACAAAGATATAGGTTGGGTAGTTCTCACTTATATTTTGACAAGCCACTGACGAGGCCCCTGGCGGGGGGCCGAAACGCTTCTGGCGCGCGTTTTAATACAGGTCAATTCATATACTTAATATTCTCTTTCTAACACGTTTCACGTGGTAGCAATTTGTAGTCCGTTCAGCAACCACAGTTGTCCCATCTAACATTTTCATGTTGGAGGATGAAGAAAGCTTTCACGCAACGTGTATAGGCTTTGTCCATCTAAGTGACATCGAATGAAGTTCGGTAGGACGTATGGGTTCTACCGTAGGCGAAAACGCGATTAGCACTATGTTGGAGCCTCTTGATCGAGACCAACAACATGCTGCTATCGCCAAGTTCATTCAACATGAAGTCGTCGCCGATAGAGAAAAAGTAGCATTGCTTCATCAGCAATGAAACGGGGCACACACTTGCGTGAACTTAACGCAAGGGTATCGTACCCCGACAGACGTACACGAGGCAAACGAGGAAGCGTAGATAAGGGAAAAGTAAAAATGTTATAATAATATAATTAAGTCGTTTTGTTACTGTCTCTCCGTTTGACTTAACTTAATTAAACGAATATAACTGAATGTATGACGACGTCTCGTCACCACTCATTGCGCGCGTCTTGCGGCGATTGGTGGGTTGATATCATCTAGATATCAACCAATGAGCAGACCCTTTGGTCGACCCATCAATATCACCACTATTGGTGATATTGTTTTAAAGAATATCCATCTTTATCTTCTTTATTGTCACTTTCCTTAAAGTGACAATTTCATGTAAAGGGCTGCCCCGTTACTTCACCCCCCTTAACTGATAGTCACCGTGTGACTATCGAAAATACGGCGGCCACCCGTTGGGCACCATTGGGACAGGGAGCACTTGTTGGGTCCGTTCCATTCACTTTCCGCTTGACCTCGCATAGTTAACATGTCTATGCGAGGTGACTCACGACACGCACAGCCCGCTGCTGTGCCAGTCTCTGCGGCAGACGATTCGTCGTCTGCTGCTCGTTCTTCGCCTGCAGCAAGAGGTACTGCAGGTGCACGCGGTACAGCACCGCGTGCGCATGATGACCCTGACGTTGAGGTCATCTATTCTGGCGAGTCAGACGTGTCTGACTCGGCCAATGTTCCAGAGGCGTCTCGATCACCGGCGACGCCTCAGTATTCGCCAAGACCACTGCCGAACGAACGGACTCGTGATTTGCATCACAGTCTGTTCGGCAGTGATGATGATGATGATCGGGGTGGTGAGTATCTATTATTCACCACCGCCAGGCTCGTGCGTCTTCGCACGAGCGACTTGACGATGGTGCAAGCCATCGTCATACTGAAAACCGTGGTACCGACAAGGGTACCACTGTGAAGCGTGATGAGCTGAAGCTGTGGCGTTTGCCTGAACGGCTCATCAATAGCTTCTCTCACGAGACAAGCCAACACCATCGAATTCCTTTATTCGACGCAACTGTGCTTCACGGCTTGGGTCTTAGTGCGAGCAACTTTCGCGCTGAGAAAGACTTTCATCTCGATGTCTTCCTTCGACATCGATGGTACAACAGCAACCAAAAGCGTTACAAAACATCGCTTTTGGCTGCGTGGAACGCGTTCGTCGAAAACGTAAAGAATTTTGGACGAGAAGGGTGGCTCAAGAAACTTGAGGCAACACGCCTCAGGTTCGAACGGCGAACGCAAACCGGTGCTAGGTACCGGTTGCACTGTTTGTCGAGTGAGGCAGGCATTCCTTGCCTCACATGGGGAGACCCTTGTTCGAGTTGTGTTGACAACTCGCAGCGTGCACATAGGGACGTGTACTCCCTAAATTCGCCCTGGGGAAGGGCACATCTCTCGGAGGAGATGCGTGACGCAATTGCAAACTTGCAATCCGTCTACAAGCGCCTAGGGCGCGTGTTTACCGATGGGCCACAGGACTCATCGGATGGGTCTCGTCATACTGGCGGACGAGACCTTCAACATCCATCAACAGCTGAGAGCGGGGCTCCCAGCTGTTCCAAGAGGGTGGATACCCCCGCCACTGGACGAGGGAGCTCGTCCTTGATCCTGAATCGTCACGGTGATTCAAGATACGCTCCACTAGGAAGCGTTAATCACCGTGAGCATCCACCAAAGGATGTGGTGGAGGAGGAAAGACCTCCTCCAGATGATTCTGTTCACCATCTCGACCCTTACGAGATGGATCGCGCAATCGATGAATTTCGCGATGACTTAAAGCACAAGCGCGACCGGCGCTAAGCTTTGACGGATACCGTGCGGAAGAACCGCAAGGGTCACGAGGCTGATCGGGCGAGGGATTGCGCCGATTATGCCACAGCGAAGCTTCAGGTCGAGCGGGATGTCCGCTCCCTTTTCGGCGAGCTGGCGACAGCTCGCGGGGAGATATATCGGTTGAGCTCCGAGATATCTTATCTGCGCGACCAGACGGATCGTCTGGAGCGCG